ACTTGTAGGAAAGAAAACGTCGGGCACTTTCGTCACAAACATCAACGATAAAAAAGCGTGAACGACAATCATAGATCGACAAAGATTAGATTTTTTTTTTACAATGTTTGGTTTTTTTTTTTTTTTGATGTATAGCTAAGTTGTATCTTCCTTTTCATAAGGACGCTATGTTTATTTTTTTGTTGTTGTTATGTTTTGTTACTGTTAACTAAAACAAAAGAGAATCATTAGTTGTAAATAATCAATCATCATTTCATTTATTCATTTTCTAGATAACAAAAAAAAATAAAATGCATATTATTTGGAATTTTCTTCTTGTTATTTTAATAGTAAATTATTCTTATGGAAAATATACAGTTAAATGGGTTACAACAAATGATCAGACATTTATAGATGAATGTTTGAAAAAATCTCTTCGATGTATGAATCGTGATGAAGATATAAATACTTTTAAATCAAAATTAACAAATATTATTTGTAAAAAACGATTTTTAAATGGATATACTATTAAATTGTATTTTGAACTTGAAGAAAAAATATGGAAATGTTTACTTTATAAACCACCTATTGAGACACTTGATATAAAATGTGAGAAATGTACACAAGAATTAGACGATGATTCACTTGAAGAAATTAAAGCAATAAAATCTAATAATATTATTCAAGAACAATCACAAGTAAATAATGACAATAAAGTTGACGAAAATGATGATGAAACTAAAATTGATGAACTTAATCAAAAAGCACAAGAAAAAGTGACAAATAATGATGAAACTGAAATTGATAACAATAATCATCAAATACCTAATGAAAATACAGATAATCAACAAGGTATTGAACAAAATATAGATACAAATGAAAAAATTAATGATGGACAAGTTGAAAATGAAAATTTGAATAAAGATGAAACAAATCTTGATACAAACAATGCTGAACAAAAGACAAATGATGATGATGATGATGAAGTGTCTAATAAAGATTTAGATAATGAAAACATAAATGTTCGAGATAATGACCAACAGGAACAGCCAGACAAGATCAATAATCAAGAAACAATACTTGATGAAAATCAAAATAATGATGCAGAACAAAACCAGTGATATTTATCGATATAAACTTCAATTTTTTTCTCATATTAAATGTGATCTAATAAATATTTTATTGTTCTAATTGTTTTTATTCTGAACTAACACTGATATAATTATATTTATGTTTAATACTAACAATGACGCTTCTTTTTATACAATTTCGTTTTTCTAAAATGAAAATTTTCTAATACCTGATTGAATTAATTTTTGATTTTTATATTAATAAAGATAATAGCGCAATCATGCGCAATTAAAATATGAAACATGATTTTATTTGTACTTCTAATCATAAGAGAATTATTGAATTCTATCTGTTTTGGTACATAGATTCATGATGTTCTTTTTATTTTTGACTTAATTCTTAATGAATATAATAAAATACGAGTTCATATATGAACAAAGTCTTGCTATTGTCATGGAAATAGTTTTTAACATGTCTTTCACGGTCTATAATGAAGAAGAGTGTCTGAAAATCTAACATTATATTTCAATACTTCGTTCACATTATGTTTTATAAAAGATAGTTAATAATGAAAATAAATCATTTGAATGAAACATTAATAAGCATAATACAACAAAAAAATTAATAAAAAAAAAAAAGATTGCAGACTGTCATTACAAATGAATTTATCTGAAGGTCAGAAATATGTTATAATATATAAGATAGAATATATAAATATTTATATGAAAAGATTGCAAAATTATTTATTATTTTATTTATGTTTACATGATTCTGAAGGTTAATATTATGAATGACGGTCAATGTTTATAATATAAATTAATTCTAGGACACATATCTTCTATCATTCATGCAATAAAACTCGTTTTCCTATTAGCTAGTTTTCACAAGCTACGAAATATATGGATAAACAAGACAAAAAGTTTTAATAGCGATGAAAGTTATTTATCAGCTTGAATTTATTATCAATATAAAAGAAATCATCGTTAGTTAAATAAAATGTTAAAAACTTTCTCGTAAAATAAATATATATATATAGATTTCAAGTGAGTAAAATTTTGGCACAAAATAAAAATGATTCTATATAATGAAAAAAAGTTTTTCATTTTGTAAGCTTTGAATTATATTATAAACAATTTTTCTTTCGAGAATATTTTCATACATATAATAAAAATCTATTATCATTATTACATATTAGTGTGTTTGACAAATGGAATGTTTCTACAAAAATTTCATCATTAGATGCTTTTATGATGCTTACATATTAGACATGTTATACATTTCATAGAACAACAAGCAAAAGAATTCTATTATGTAAGAATAACTCACATTAGAAGATGAAATAGAAGATTCTTTTCAGAGTCAACTTTCTTGCTGTTTCTACCATTTCATTGTTCTAATCACATTTGTCTCGTCTGCACACAATTATAACTAGAATATACATGCCATTTGTTTCTGTTAGTTCTATTCCCATTGGAGAAGAGGAAAAAGTGGTATAGATATTGACAACAAACTATCTATCTTTTTTTCCTTCTCATAGAACGCTTATTATCACGATATAATACTATCTCACATTAATTCTATGCGTCAGAATCCTAGAAATAGCAAGTAAATATCTATTAAGATACAAGTCAAACTTCATTCAATGAATGAGTTTACTAGAAAAGTCGATCGTCTAATGGAACGTCTTCATCGTGGAACAGAACAATGTGATCATATAGAACAACGAGCTTGTCTTGCCGAAGAACGTTTATTTGTACTTAATGATTCTATTCAAACACTTGCTCGTCTAATTGATGTTAGTTATTTAATACTGATCTCATTGGATAAAGAAAAATTTGCATGGTTGAAATTAGTCAATAATGAAAATCCTGAATTAACAAATCCAATAGTTAAACAGTTCTTTTATCGTCTTGAATTATATTTAAGACGATCAATTATCGATAATGATGAAAAACGAGCATATATTCAAGCTTTACGTCTACTTCAATTACCATCCATTGTATCATCTGGTTTTTTTTTGAACATGAAAGAAGAAAAAAAAACGAATAACAAATAAAAAGTTTTTTTTTTTTAATTTAATTTTAATCTTGATCTTCATCATCGTCTTCTTCATCTTCATCAGCATTTGTTGTATTTCTAAGTGATGTTGTTTTCGATTCTTTAACTGTTCCTCCAGCTCCTGTTGCATCATCTTCATCTTCACCAGGTAATTTACCTTTAATACCACCATCTAAAAAAACATTAGATTTAATCATCAATAATATCTTAGAAATTCTTTGATATTTACCTTCATCTTCATCCGAATCTTCATTATCATCACCAGGTCTTTCAGTATTTTCTATAGCTGCATCCAACATAGCTTCCTAAATAATCAAAATAATAATAATAATAACGATAAATAGTATAAAATTGATTCGTATAAATTTACTTGAAGTGCAGCATCATCAATATCAGTTACGACTTTAGGTTCCATTTTTATTTTAAATATTCCACGATATTGTTCAATGCCTTGTTTAATTTTTTCAATCACATTTTTTAATGCACTAAGACCTTCGTTACGATCAAGACATGTTGCTGTAACAACATAAAGTGGTGGAGCAATAAGATTAATCTTAAGAAAAAAATAAAAAACAAATAATTAAATTTTCTTTGATTATTATTTAAATATTTACTTTAACTGGCATTTCTTCTGTTGAAGCACTAAGACCTTCTCTTAATGCTGCTTTAACTGCATCGACACCGTCATAACCATAACATGCAACTTCAACATCTAAATATAATTAAAATAGAATATTGAAACTAAATAAAATAAAATATCTACCAGCTCGACATTTAACAGCTTGAGGAGTAAGACGACGTCGAATATTATTAATTAAAATCTTTTTCGTATTTTCATCTACTTGACAATCATCAAGTTCATGTTCATCACTGAAGAAAAAATAAAACAAGATAAATACAATTTGTTTTTCTTTTTTATAGTATTCACCTAACAGCTCGTACAAATATATCATACGCTGCACCTGGTCGTTTATATTTTTCATCATAATACCAAGCAGTTTTTTCATATAATTCTTCGAATTCTTCATTAGTTTTTATTCCTAATACTTCAGCTGTATGACGAAGAATGCTACTCACCTATAAAAATCAAAGTTTTCAAGAAATTTTTATTGATAAAACATACTGTTTTTCCACGAACAAATTTTTCTTCACATTTACTAATATCTTCTGGTGATACACGACGTTTTGATAAATCAATATAACCTAAAATAGAAACCATCATTGAAAAATTTCATTTTTCTTCTTGTTTCAGTTGTATTTAATTTCAATAAACCTTTATCACGATCGACACGAACAACAACAACAACTTCATTTCGACCAACACGAATTAATTTATTTATTGAACGAATACGACGACGTGATAATTCAGTTAATAAGATCATACCTAATCAGAAAAATAAAATTTATATTAAAAAAAAAAAAAAAAAGAATTGAACCTTGTCTATTATTATATTCAAGTAAATTCACGTAAACACCCATTTCTTCGATCTCGGTAACATTAACCATAACAAGATCATCTGTTTCAGGGAAATGGTTTTTGTAAAAACGACACGTTAATTGCATTATGTTTGTTTTTTTCTTGTAAATCAATCTAAACAACGAGATAATGTATGATTTTGAAATAATTTCTTTCGTTTTAATATTGGATCGTAGAGAAAAAAACCCATATTATGAAAGTTCCAAAACTATGACTATCACAACAAACAACTGATGTAATTATGGTCTATTGAATAAGCCTCTCGACATTGGTTGAGAAAAAATACACAAGTTACAAGGATGATGTCTCTAGTATCGCTTTATTCTATTGGGGAATGAATTTTTATTTCGTTTGATAACAGCTGTGGTTTTTTCTCTCTTTCTAATCTGTACTTTTGTTAAGTAATTGTACGTAGATGCGACAACTATTATTATTACGTCGTTCACTAATATCTGTACGATTTTCTTCGTATTCGGTATCACCTCAAGCAACAATTGCTCATGATGGACCGAATCCACCTACACTCACAGAAAATGTTGATATTACAATAGCTGGTGGGGGGCTAGTTGGAAGTGCTATGGCACTTGCTTTTGGTAAGATTTACTTCTATTTATTTTTATTTATTTATATAGTTATTTTAGCTTCATCTCCTCTATTCAAAAGTCATAAAATAGTTCTTCTGGAATCTCAATCGAAACTTCCACAAGTTTCTAAAAATAAACCATATAGTAATCGTGTTTGTGCTCTTAATGCTCAATCAATAAATTTATTTCAAAGTATGATTTCATTTCAATGTTTAACATAAAATCATTTCTTTTTCTTTTCAGAACTTGGAGCATGGGATTTAATGAAATCTATACGTGTTCAAAAAGTAGCTCGAATGCAGGTAAAATTTCTTTTCTTGAAAAAACAAAAGAAAGAAAAAGTAATTTAATTTTGTATCTTTTTTATTGGTCTGGGATGCTTGTTCAGATTCAGTTATAGCATTTGATCAGGAACATCAACCAGATAATGATTCTCTTGCTTATATCGTTGAAAATGATGTTATACAATCTTGTTTACTTGATCGATTAAAACAATTTAATATTGAACCAAGACTTAATTCAAAAGTTAAAAATTTTGAATATGAAGAAAATTCTATTCGAATTCAATTGCAAGATGAAAAAATTAATCTTCGAACGGGATTATTAGTATGTTTTATAGATTTGTCTTTTTATTTTCCTATTAATTAAAAATTTTTATTTTTATTAGATTGCAGCTGATGGTTATCAATCAAGTATTCGAGAAATGGCACGAATTTCAACCATGCAATGGGATTATAGTCAATATGGTGTTGTTGCTACACTTCAATTAGCCGATAATGTTTGTTTATTTTGATTTAAAAAAAAGACATGATTTATTATTTGAAAGATTTAGATGCCAGATAATGTTGTTGCTTGGCAACGATTTTTACCTACAGGTCCAATAGCTTGTTTACCAGTAAAATATACAAAATGATATTATTAAAATTATTAATCTATTTATGTTCTTAGTTAAGCAATACACATAGTTCACTTGTATGGACTGTACCAAAATCTATGCATAAAACACTAATGCAACTATCAGATGAGCAGTTTGTTGATGAAATTAACAAAGCATTTGTAAGAGAACGAAGGAAAAAATTATTGAAGTGTTTTGATGTTTTCCTAATTTAATTTAATTTAGACATCTGATGCTCATAAACAGAATGGAATTATTTCAATAACAGAACGTATTCGATCATATTGGCAACAACTAATTCCAGGTATTGTGAAAAGAAATCTATCGCAGAGTTAACGAGACGTACAGTATTGATCAAGAACATAAGATCAACGTACTTTTAAGTTTTTTTTTCTACCCTATGAAGCATTTAACTCAAATTAAAATAGTGCTTTCAATAATGAATGAAGTCATCTGTCAAGTTTATTTCATCGTGATAATTCACTAATTGACTATATGAGGAAAATTTGTGAATAGTTGTCAAATACAAGAAGCAAGTTTGAAAATCATTTTTTAAAGAGTATCATGTTAACCCTTTCGGGACAGTTGTACAAGGGTTGTACCACCTATTTTCATAAGCTGTTATCACCCGTATGGAAGTAGGTCATTCCAGCTGCCATTGCGTGCATATCTTTTCTTTCTTTCTTCCTGTCATATAGATGGTCCTAAGTTCTTCTCTTTTCTTTCTGCTTCATACATTGACACCATAGTTGCTTCCTCTCTTATCTTGATGCATTGTCATAAGGCTTCTATGTAATTTTTTTGAGTCAAATACAATATACTGACGAAAGAGCCATTTTCCAATTCCAAAGTAATTCGGTCCTCAAAGGGTTAAAGAGCACAAAATCTTGAAAAGAAATGAGAGGTCACCGCATTTCCAACAACCTTTTCTTTAAAAATGATATACATCACAAAAAATTTTAAGAAAAACGAAGTTTATCACAGCATTGCTAGAAATTGCAATCTTTTGTTTTCTTTTATAATACTGTTAAACTTTTAAAAAAACGTCGTAGGAAATATGATGATGCCTCATTTTATTCAAGATTTTATATTCTTTAAGATAATACTCTTAAAATCTAATTCTTACATTGTCTGGTGAAATAAAAAAACTACAGTGTTTGGTTATCCAGAAAGCTTCTTCTCATAGTCCATCTTTGAAATTGTAGTATGAAATGCATTTGATAGAGAATTATATTTTTGACCAGTAGTTTATATATGAAATCAATATCTGAATAATAATAGAAGCTAATGAATGAAACATCATTCTATTGATATTGTTTTCTGACATTGAGACAAATATTTGCTAAATCTATAAATAAATTTGCATAGATCTTGAATGTAGATGTGTAGATGATTGCTTTTGAAATAGCTATTATTGTTTTCGAGATGTTTTTCATATTCTCATTTGTCTTTTATTTTATTATCGAAATTAAATTTTGAAATAGTTTCACCAACAACATTTCAATATCCACCAGTTGTAATCAATATTGAACCAAGATCACGAGCAGCTTTTCCATTAACAGTAAAAACACACACAAAAAAAAAGAGATTTATTAGTTAATTATGTAATATCATTGAAAATATTTAGCTTCTCAATGCTAATCAATATGCTCGTCCCCGTTTAGTACTTATCGGGTAGGATGATGTTAATTTAAATTAAAAGAAAAAACTACACTAAAAAGTTTGCTTTTAGGGACTCTGCTCATCGTATTCATCCAATGGCTGGTCAAGGAGTAAATATGGGTTTCGGTGACGTACTATGCCTTATTAATATACTTGAACAAGCTGTTCGAGATGGTGCTGATTTTAGTATGAATTTGTTTTGGCTTTTATTTTTGTGATCTTCTTAAATTTATGTATAGATTCTTTGACATATCTTGTTGATTATGAACGTCAACGACAATTACAATGCTTAGCAAGATTATTATCTATAGATTCATTAAATCGTCTTTATTCAACAAATTTTTCACCTACTGTTGCACTTCGAAGTGTTGGTCTTAGTTTTGTTAATGAATTTTTACCATTAAAAGTAAATTTAGATTTTTATTTCGTCGAAATTGATATTGATTTTATTTTTGTTTTAGAAATTCTTCGCAAAACAAGCAGCTTCCAGATCTTAATCGATGAGAATATTTTTTTTTTGTCGCATCTTTGTATTGATTGAATAAAAACAAAATCACAGAATCAAGCAAACAAAATATTTTGACGTTTAATTTTTTTTTTATGGTGTGTATGTGTTAATAATGAATTGTTTAGGTAATGATTATATTGTTATATTGCGTTGATATAATCAGCTAGTTAGAACAAAATGAAAAAAATTGCGTAAGAGTGAACGAGTCATAGATCGGTTCCCATGCGCTAGATATATTCTAATACAATGACAACAAATTTAGATGCATATGGACTTCTTCATAAAGATTCAACGTGGTATTGCTATTGGTTTAATTCTATACTATCCATGGCGGTTTCGAAGGAGCCATTGATAAAATAATTACATAAATAGAGTATTCGTCTCTTTAATATGCTAACGATGTGGACAGTACGATCAGATGCATTATCTCTTGTGTAGAATTGTTTGATCACTTCAGTAGTAATCGGTAAAAAAAGAGCATGAGTAAAACAACTTGAAAAATCGTACGTTTTTCCTCTACTATAGTAGTATTGATTAGACAAAATTAGTATCTATGACACATTTTTTTAAACGAACTCATTGGTGTCTAAATAATAATTCTATCAATAAAGATATTTTATTGATGATAAATATTTCGTTCGATTTTTAATGTGTTAAGATGTACAAACAAAAAATATATATGATGTACGACATTCTCACTTTTACTTTGTGATAGTCGCTACAGGACTCTGTCTATGTTTTACTATCACTCATTTGTCAAGCTATTGAAAAACTTTCGAAATGCATTTGATTCATCGGTCAACATTTTTCCAAATGGACTTAACAAAACATGTCCATCAATAGTATGTTGTCTATAAGTAGAAAAGAAAAATTTTTATTTTTCCAAACTTATTGATTTTGCAAGGCATGTTTTTCAGAGATACAGCTATCAAGTAACATAATCTTTTTCTATCAATTGATAGTTCATTCCCTTCTCTCCAACTAATATAAAGTTAGTTGTCAATCAAATATATCGTTTTGTTTTTAAACATTATTTCCTCCAATGTCCACGACTGTGGACATTTGGGCTTATGAGTAAAGGATAAATGTTCCAGTGAATTATAATGATACGAATAATAATACTAGAGAGAGACATAATCAATATAATATTACAAAAAATAGTCAATGTGGAATTTGTGAAGAATCGTAGCCAGGTATGAATCACCTTTCAGTTCCCTTATCTTTTTCTGTTGCAATCGAATTAATGCTAGACCTCGGTAATCATGACTATGCTGGGATATATGGTACAGGAGCTAATGATTATAATTATGGATTAGATGAATATGACTGCTAATCATTTAAATTATTTTGAATTTTACATATTTTCACTTTATCTTGAACACTTTCATCGTTGACAGCATCATTTAACACAATGATGTCTTGATAAATATCTTGGACTGTGTGATTGGAATTCTAATGAGGCTGATTTTCAATAGAATATGTCTAATGAAAATAAATTTTGTTTCTATGCACTTGTTCCATGACCTCGAGATATTATTTCATATAAACATTGTGTTTTTCAACGAAAATATCATGCAGAAAATATGTAAGTAAAAAAATTATATAAAAAGAATATGTTTAATTTTGTAAATCAATAAGAAAAAATTTTATAGTTCTACTAATATCAACATTATTCAACGAGCATCAAATAAATTGAACACAAAAATAAATAATGATGAAAATACAGAAATAAAAAATAAGGTTGACCAGAAAAAAAATTAATGTTTTCTTTTCATTCCATTTCTATGCATTTTTATTTCTTCTATTTTTACTTTTTAAATTTTCATTACAACTATTAAGCTTAAAAATCGATTTCTTTCCGAAAGAAATATGACGAAGTTATTTGCTTTGTCATTATTTAATGAATTATTGCCAGAATTATTTTTTTGCATCGTCACTCGTGACACAATAAAATTTTCTGTTCTTTTTCTTCTCCTACCACATCACGTTTCTGTTTTCATTTACACACCATGGCAGATGCAACTGAATTGTCGATAGCTGCAAATTGGATTCGACAATCGTCTTCAATTTTAATTGCTGCAGGTGCAGGCTTATCAGCTTCAGCAGTAAATCCTCAATATGGTGTAGGTCTTGATTATACTTCTGTAGCAGCATTTCGTCGAATATATCCTCGTATGACTCAAGTATCAACAATGCGATGTATGTATGACGCCATTGGAAAGCATGATTGGACTCCAGAATTAATGTGGGGTTATCTTTTTACACATGCTGATAAATGTCGCTTTAATTGGGGATCAACATCTGTCTATCAAGATCTTAAACAAATTTTATTAAATAAACCAATGGATTCATTCGTAATAACGACCAATGCTGATGGTATGTTTGAACAAAATAAGTTTGTAAGTTGTTTTTAATAAAAAAAAAGAAAAAGTAAAAAATAAAATTTTATCTTTTTTGTTTTTTTTTGTATACAGGATATGACACGTTTTCTCAGTACACAAGGTGATTATTCTGTTCTTCAATGTCTCAAACCATGTTCACGTCAATCTGTATATGACGCTCGTCCATATATTGAACGTGGTCTTCCTCATGTTAATCCACAAACAATGGAAGTACCTTCAACATATATTCCTAAATGTCCTCGTTGTGGTGGACCTATGTTTTTTTGTGTACGTGGTGGTGAATGGTTTATTGAATCTGCGTTTGATGATCAACGACAACGTTATCATGATTTTATTCATCGAGCTATTCATAAAAAAAATGATCTATTTACAATTATTGAAATTGGTGTAGGTTTTAATACTCCAAGTGTACTTCGTTGGCCTATGGATCAATTAGTTAGCGAGTTTCCAAATGTAAGACTTATTCGTATAAATATGCATGCACCTGATGTACCAGTTCACGCACGAAAAGAAAAAAGAGCGATCGGTTTTGATGGAGATGCAGCAAGAGTTATTCGACAACTTAGGGATACGGTTGTAGCATGAAATGCCTGATAAATAATCAAAACTAACAACAAAAGAAATGATTCAGATTTAAAAGATTGATTATCTCTTATGAATGATTTTTTAATAAATATAAAATAAAAATTTATTGAATATTATCATGTCTTGATATACAATTTAATGAACGTATTAAGCGAAATATAACATTGACACGCCAAGATTGACATATATAGTTGTAGACAGATAATTCGGAAAATGATATTACCTTGTCAAAATCAATTGTTTATAAGAAAATCTGTCATAAAATTTTTGATGCCGTTATTGATTACTAAGACATTGTCCAAGAAGTCCATATGTAAGATTATATAAAAAAATTGCATTCTTTAATTGATTAAAATTATAGATTTACTTGAAGCTTTCACAACAAAATCTTTTACTACTTTATCAATATTTACTCATTGCCCTTCCACGAACCGTTTGATAACATTTCAGTCGACGCATGTTTCTACGCTCTGTTAAGTTCTTTTGGTCGCATAGATTTTAAATGATCATCAGTCATAATCCATAAACTTTCGATGGTGTTGACAACTAGTGATGCAGACGGACAATTCATAAGAAGAATATTGTTTCTTTCGAAACAATCGATAGCAAGTTTTGAGAAATGTGATGAGTCATTGTCTTATATGCACATCAACCAATTATCATTTTGCAAGGCGAATGTGTCTGCAACAATTGAGGATAAAGCATCACCAATGATCTGAGTATAAGCAGGACTGTTTAATCGACCATACTATTACTACCACCACCATTTGACATCCTTGAAACGAAACTAAATGGTTTGTCACTTTCGCTCATTGTTCGTCGTACTTTTGTTCGATTCTTGCAATTAAATAGTTCAAAATCAGCCTCGTCGCTCCAGATGACGTTTTTTCTAGTTATTAGGTAGTCAAAGAATATGATTATTCGAAAACTCTAGATGTGCTTTCTTTTGTACAGCGCTAACGAACTGGTAGTCTTTGGCAGTATAAGTGTTTTACCAACTATTCAATAGCCGATTCCGATAACAGTTGTCGAGTACTTTCTGTTCGATCTTTCTTTATACAATTGTAATAGTCGGCAATCATCTTTTAGCGCGGACAAACCTTTTCGACCTTATCCTGTGATATTTTTCAATGATAGATCTATCATAATTTTAAAGTTATAATTTGACTTTTCTTATTTGCCAATACAGAAGCTCATCCGATAGTAGATGAACGTAATAGCAGGAAAGAATAATATTGCAACGCGAAACAGAGAGAGATCACACTATGGTGTCATCTTTCTGAGAAAGTATAGTACTATGGAACATGCAGAGACTACAAAAATTTCAGATGAACCTAAAATTTTGACCATTTCTGTATGTGATAAACAAGAATACGATGAAATATAGATAATATTATTTGAAAAAGTCAAATCAATTTATTTATTAAAAATAAATTTTTAGAACAAGAAAATGTAAATATCATTAATGATGTAAACAGCAGAAATAACTTTGAAATAGATTGTACAAGGACAATGTTCTTTGCTGTATTAAGATAACAAAGATTGGATTCTATTATCAGCTTGTCTTCTTAGGTCAAGGAGCCGTAATATTGTTTCTTTATTTTACTATCTTTTGTCTGAGTTGAAGCAACAGGGAAAGAAGAAAGAATGCAAGAAAAAAAAAAGAAGTAGAAGCAAAGGAATAAATATTCCCTTGATGGATCTGATTTTCTATTCTCATTGCTCGAGTCAGTTGGAGGTCATCAACTCAGAGATTCCATCCTCTTTATCCCTTATCATTACCTAAGTGCATACATATATATTATTCAGCTCAGATTACGTGAACAATAACAAACGATGTTATAACTACTGCAGGCAAAACTGCTTGTCGCTCATTCATTTAGTTAGCTTATTGTCAAATGATCATCATTCTATGGTGTAGATGCCACGTAGCGATTAAACCGACATAGGTTTTTTTTGACCATATTGAAATAAATCATACTATTTATTATCAATCAGTCTT